CACCTTTAATTAAACAAATATATAAAATATATAAAATCTTTATATAAATAAAATCTCAATTATTAACAATCAACTACGTCTAGATTGTCACTACAAACGTCTCCATGTCCCATTGCAAATTGATGAGCAAAACCCGAGTGCCGGTCATTCACATGCTTTACAGATTTTGACTTTGAAGCAGAAACCTGAAAAAATTTGTTTGTTATAATAATTTAATAATATACGGAGAGATTGTGATTCATGTTGTTCAATAATCTAGAGCGTGCCCGTGTCAATGGATCACATCCATCCCCCTGTCTTTGAATTTTCTAGGAAAGAGGAAAGTCAACTACCGAAAATACGTGGAAGGAAGCAGGGGTTGAATACCAACTCTTCGTCTACTAGTCTCTAATGTTCCTCTTGTCAATGGCCCACATCCATCCGTATCTTGAATTTTCTAGGAAAGAGGAAAGTCAACTACCGAAAATACGTGGAAGGAAGCAGGCGTTGACGACCAAGTCTTGGTCTGCTAGTCTCTAACGTACCTCGAGTCAATGGCCCACATCCATCTGTGTCTTGAATTTTCTAGGAAAGAGGAAAGTCAACTACCGAAAATACGTGGAAGGAAGCAGGCGTTGACGACCAAGTCTTGGTCTGCTAGTCTCTCCGTTCCAATTAGGCAGAAGGTGAAATTCAGCCTCTCTACTTCTAGTGTTGTGGCATATCAGCCCCTTTACTTAAAAATACTGCAAATCAGCCCCTTTACTTGACAAAATCCACGAGTCGACCCATCCGCTGATGATGACATCATCAAATGTCATCTTTTCATCTACATCTTTGTTACTGCGTCACGTAGAAATGGCTTGGTGCTAACATTAGGTGGGTGATGTAGGCAATTTAAACTATAAAATTACTAAAGAGTCTTTTTTTTTTTTTTTCCTTTTCTTCTATCCGTCTTCTCTTGTTGTTTTACATTCTCTCTCTTCCCATTGCAGATCTACTTTTTTCCCCAAAAGTTCAAGTTAAATTTTTGTTTTAGATAAGTTTAAATTCAAAAAATTAAGAAAAAAACCCTCATAATATAAAAATATAAAAATTAATAAAAAGTTTAAAATTAAAATAAAAACTTGTTACTTTGTCAATATCAAATGATTTGTTTATTGAATTTTCATCTTCAGTAACTCAAAATTTACTTGATTTTATTTTATATAAAAGTACATATAATATTTAATTTTTTAGAAAAATATCTTAAAAATAGATTCATATATTTAAAAAAAAACACAAATTGAAAAAAAAAAAGAAAAAAATTATGAATTTATATGTGCCTCTTTACTATAGAAGGTTTTGATTTACACTAGGATTTTGAGTTATTAGTGATGGAGACTTGATAAACAAATCACTTAGTGCTGGCAAAATCATAAGTTTTGGTTTTGATTTTAAATTTTTTTCTTAATTTTTATATTTTTAATATTTTTAGGGTTTTTTAATAACTTTTTAGATTTAGACTATTTAAAAAAAATTCAACTTGAACTTTTAGAGAAAAAAAAAATATATATCTGCAATAAGAAGAGAGAGAAAATGCAAGGTAGGAGAGAGAAGATAGATGGAAGAAAAGGAACTAAATGAAAACTTTTTAATAATTTTGTAATTTAAATTGGCCACATCACCCAACCCATGTCATATTGGCACCTAACCATTCCTTGGTAACGGAGTAACAAGGACGTAGACGAAAAAGATGATATTTGATAATGTCATTGTCAGCAGAAGGCCTGATTAGTGGGTTTTGTCAAGTAAAGGGATTGATTTGCATTACTTTTAAGTAAAGAGCTGATATAGCACAACAATGGAAGTAAAGGGGCTAAATTGCACCTTCTACCTACCAATTTAGGAAAAGTAATTAGAATATATTTA